CACTTCCTGTTCGGTAGCTGGTTGGGAACCGCGCCGCATTGCCAAGCCAGCGCGGATGCGGACGACACGCATTATCGGCTGTTTGTAGCCTGCGGCACGGTTTCGCGAAGGTCGAATAGGTAGTATTCAGCGAGCTTGGAGTAAAGTAGGCGTCGTGAAACGAATGGAGTGTCGTCTTTGCAGGATGAAAAAAACATCGCTCACCTGGACCCAGAGGGAGGAGTTGTACTCAGGTATGGAGCCCGTGAATGTCGACTCCCGCAAATGTCTAGGTCGAACGGCAATGGAAGCGTTAGTCGCGCCAACTCCTGCAGCTACCGAATCCTCCGTGCAACGGCTCGGAGAGATGATAGGAACAAGCAAGTGCTCCTTTTTGGGGCATGACGAGTAGCTACTATGGGTGCAAAGTGGAGAGCGTCGTGCCCTGGTACTGAACCCAGATGGAAAGTATCGCGTATGCATACAGGCAAAACTGTGCCCAGACGTGCCGCTCCCTGTTAGATATAATGCATCATCGATCCCAAATCCACCACGGACTGTTCATCTAATACCAAGAGCTGACACCATGGGTTCCGTTTCGCAGGATGAGCGCAAAGTCGCCATCATCACCGGTGGCACGGTTTGTCAAGTCGCATAACCGCAGTTGATCTGAGCTTGCTGACAGATTCCAACAGAGCGGAATCGGTTCCTGGCTAGCAGCCCGGTTGCAGGCGAGAGGCTACCGTGTCGCGATCTGCGGTCGACGTGAAAGCGAAGGCAAAGAAGTCGCTTTATCAATTGATGCGACAGGAGATTCGGTCATCTTTGTCCAATGCGACGTCAGCTCCTACGCCTCGCAAACCAACCTCTTCCAAACCACCTGGAACAAATGGGGTCGCCTGGACGTTCTGATTGCGAACGCGGGCTTTCCTGATCGTGGCTCCGTGTTCAACCTCAACCGCCGCGATGCGCCCATCGGCGACTTGCCTCCCGAACCAGATACCAGCTGTACAGACGTCGTGGTGAAAGGACGAATGTATGGCACGACGTTGGCAACACACTACATGCGCCACAACCCAGGGGGCAAAGGTGGCAAGATCATCATCACAGGAAGCATGCTGGGCATATATCCATGCCACAGCTTTCCAGAGTATTGCTCTGCCGAAGCAGCGACAGCAATGTGGACGAAGACAACCGGACCTGTTCTGCTGGCCAAAGACAACATCTCCATCAACTGTTTGATGCTCGGTCCAATCGAAACTCCAGTCATGCCTGGCTTTAGCAAAGCCTTTCACCCCGAACACATGATGCTCCAATCGACCCTCTTCGACGGTTACGATCTGTTCCTGGATGACGAGAAGAACCAGAGGACAGGGCAAGTTGTCGAGATAGCACACGACAGATTGACAGAATGGGGACATCCGGGCTACAAGAACGGAGCTTTCTCGAAGCGTAGCGAGGCTGTCTTCGAGCCATGGTTTGCCATGGTGCACGGAGAGAAGAGCGGGTTGCCAGGTACAATCCACGACTGGCCGAACCGCGGCAACAAAATCATCGCTGTGACAGGCGCGACAGGAAGCCAGGGTGGCGGAGTAGTCAACATCATGAAGAAAACGCCAGGCTGGTCAGTCAGGGCGATCACCCGAAATCCGAACGGCGATGCGGCAAAGAAACTCGCCGCAGAGGGTATTGAGGTTGTAGAAGCCGATTTCGAAGACGAGACATCGTTGCGAGCCGCTTTCGATGGCGCAAATGCCGTCTTTGCAGTCACAAATTGGTGGGAAGCGCTGTTCCGGGGCAAAAGCCAGCACGAATGTGGCGAGATCGAAGAGCGACACGGCATGAACCTCGCTCGGGCTGCCGCGGCCACACGGTCAGTCGAACACTACATTTGGTCGACTTGCCCAAGCGCGAAGCGTCGGTTCTGGGGTAAGATGGAAGCGCCGCACATGGACTACAAGGCGAACGTGGACGCGCGTATCAAGGCCGAGTTGCCGCAACTTGCCGCCATCACGACTTACCTGTACTTCGGGTACTATCCGCAGAACATGGCTTTCTTCCCACTCTGCAAGCCCTTCAAATACGTGAGTCTGGTCGAATCCTTTTTGTGTGAGTGCCATTGACTGACGTCTGACATAGCCCGGTACCAGTAAATACATCCAAGCGATGCCCACGAAGCCCGACGCCAAAGTTCTTGTAGCCGGCGATATGACAGTCAACCCCGGCATCTGGGTCCGCCAAGTCCTTGCCACTGGCGGCAAGGCTTATGGTAGATACGCGAATGTCGCGCTCGAGAAGATGACATACCAGGAAATGGTCGATGTATGGTCGGAAATCACTGGCAAGAGCTGTGTCTTTGCTGAGCTCAGTGTGGAGACCGCCACGAAGCTGTACGGCAATATGGGCAATGAACTGGCGCTTCAGTTCAAGTATGGCGAGGCTTGTGATCCTTGGGAGGTCACGGAGGAGTTTGTGAGCCCAGAGGAGCTGGGCATAGACGCTGGGGAGGTCGTTGGGTTCAGAGGCACGATCGAAGGCCTCCGCGCACGCGGATTCTGGGCTTGATGCGGACGTGTATTCAATATGATGCTCGTATGACGTCGGTAGCGTAATGTATGCGGGTTGCGACTACCTAGGTAATGGCAGGACTCTGGAACATAGACCGGCGCATGCGACGATGGTTTTCGTGTGTAGACGGCCTTCTATAGTAATGGGTCAGCTTGATGGGTTCCAGAGATGATGGTACGACATAAAGTAGTGGACCTAGTACTGGCCACAGCCCGGCGGCCATTAGATGTCGCATTCATCGTGGGAGCTGAGGAAATGGGGTTGTCGCGTCTCGGGCAGCGGCACCCATGTGGAGGGGATGACCGAGTAACTCGGCCATTCGTCGGACTGTAGCTCAAGCTAATTAAACAGGGTTGGAAGTCGTTCTGTATCTCTAGCAGTTTCTCCTGCGATCTAATTCTTGTGTCTAATCGTCCTAGCTATAATAATTTTTTTAGATTTCTAAGGTATTTATATAGTTAAAATATTATTTTAAAATAGTAAATAAGTAGCTACTTTTTACTTATTAGTTATAAAAGTTAAAAAAAAAGAAGTTATTAATATAATTTAAATAGTAGTAAGTTTACTTACTAAGTAATTTACTTAGAGTTTTAGCTTTAGCTACTAAGTAAAACTTAAGTTTCTAAAAATTTACTATAAGTACTTAAAAAATAATACTAATTAAAGTAAGTTTAAGAAGTATTACTAGTTTTTTAGCTAGTAATATATTATAGTTAAAAAAAAAAAATATAGTATATTACTATAGCTAGAGCTTAAAAAGTATATATTTTTTCTTAGCTTTTTACTACTTCTTACTTTTAATATAGACTTTTATATACTTACTATACTATATATAAATAAATTATATATAATATAATAGTTAGCTTATTTAATAATAAAAGAAATAGATTAGATTAGATATAGCTTAAGTGTTCTAGCTATAATAGTAAGAATATAATATTATACTAGTCTATAAGTAGTCTTAATAATTAATAAATCTCTAATATATATTCTAAGAAGCTCTATAAAGCTTCTATACTATCTCTATATTATTAATTTATAAGTAAAGAGTATAAGTAACGTATAGAGTTATATTACTATATAGTAATATAGTAGTATAGTATTTAGCTTTAGATAAATCTTACTAAGGTATCTATTTCTATAATCTACTAATACTACTATATCTCTATCTATAAAATACGTAATATATAAATATATATAATAATTATATTACTACTAGCTAGACTATTAAATATATCTCTAGCTAATATCTTATCTATAACTATCTTCTTTAGGTTTTAAGTAAGTAACTTAATAATCTTTTTTCTATTAGAAGCTAGTATATAAGATTTAAATATATTTTATAGTATAAATAGTTATATAATTTTATTATAAGTAGTATATTATACTTATAATTTTTTTTATTTATTAAAGTATTTTTTTAATAAGATTATTAATATTATAAAAATTATAAGTAGCTTATTTTACTTTATATTATTATAGTACTATAAAGTAAAGTAAATAGTAACTATAAAATAAAATTACTATATATAAATATAAGTTAAAAAGAAAAAAATATAAAAAATAACTATAGTAAGTATTACTTCTTAAAGATATAATATATATATAACTATAGCTACTAATATAATTACTATTTTTTATATAAATACTTAGCTTATTTTTAATAGTAAATTACTACTACTTAGTATTTTTTAATAACTTTTAGCTTTTTTAAAGTTTACTATTATAATAAAGAAAGTAGTAAAATTATAAACTATTTATTACTAATAAGTTATTATTTTTAAAAGTAGTACTTTTTTTAGAGCTTAGCTATATACTAAATAGTTATATAATATTTTAAAGTATAGTTTTATTTTTAATAAGTATTAAAGTATATAAATATATATACTAAAAATACTAATATAAATATAAATATAGCTAATATTTATAAGTATAAACTAAGTAGCTAAAAACTTTTTAATTACTAAAAAAGTAGTAGTATTAAATTTTATTTAGTAACTTTAACTACTTAGTATTTAGTTTACTTAAGTAAAGTAAAATATTTTAAATAGTTAGTTTATAAATATAAACTAAAAAGTATAAATATTAGCTATTTTAGTAAGTTATAAAATTATTATAAAAAATAAAAATAAAAATATATAAAAGAAGTATTATAGTAATAGCTAAGTAGCTATTATAAGTAATAAGTTATTTAGTTAATTATTTAGATTATCTAAGTTATCTAGTGCTAGTATATTAAATGTAAAGTCTTTATTACAAGTAACACTACTACTTATAAAACTCTTTAAGGTAACGCGTTTTAATTTAGTAAGAACAACAGTAAAGATAGTGTTGGTTGAATCTGGAGAGTAATCCTCCCGGTCGCATCAAAGCGCATCTGCATGCACAATGGGCGGCTCGTGCGGACCCTGCTTACGGCATTCCTCAGGTGCATGCTAGCATACTGGCGCTGCCTATGTCTTCCTATCCACAACAGTATCTTTCGGGGCGCCTGGGGCGCGTGAGATGTCAGAGGAACTAGAAGACTCCGCATCCGTCACCTGCCCATCCTCCTTTGCTTGTAGCTCGACCTGCGCATCGACGTCGTCCTCATTGTCGAACCAGGACGGCGGATCGAGCAATCGAGGAAGCTTAGCTGGCGCCTTCTTGTTCCCTTTCTCTAGATGCGCCCCTTCGTTGAGCTTGTCGCCTTGGTTCGGACCGCTGCGAGCCTTGCTTCTCGAAAACAGAGGGCGCATGAGCGGTATGCAAGCCACAACGATCATGACTGCACACTCGAGGCCACCTAGGAACATGGCGATGGCCATGTCCGAGTATCGGTTGACTTTTCGCCAATTTAGACCCCACAAGCACTTCTGGCGATAGATGGTAATGGCCCAGGTCCTAGGGTTCGTGTTAGCATATTGCAGGCGGTGGAAGTCTTTCTGGTATACGTACACTATACCCATCCCTAGCAAGACAATAGCAACGATCTTCTTGCGCCATGACGTCCGGAGGCGGATCAGATACGGCATCGGAAGTGCGATGATGATTGTATCGATGATCAGATTGAACAAGCCCATGATGAAATAGAACAGAGTTTGGTTAGGGCATTTGTCTGCGTTGATCCATGCCATGTTGAACGGTCTGCAAATCGACAATACTGCAATCAGATCTGCCACTGTCCATACGACGATCGTCGCGCCGAAATAGCGACATATAACGCGCATGGATGCGTTAGGTATGATCGAAGTGTACATGAGCAGGACCGAGAGCTTGGACAGGCAGGCAGTGACATGCCAAGTACACACCGCGACTAATGTGCCTTTGGAGAGGATGCGCATATTGAGGATACCAAAACGCTGTAGGAGGGTTGTGAGTTCGAGGCCATAGCCTGCGTGGAAGACGAGGTATAAGTGGTTGCAGTTTGTTGCTAGGTTGAACACCTGTCAAGGGAAGTCAGTAACTTTGCTCTGCAAGATACTCCCGGTATCTACGTGGCGGATATGATGCATCTGAATGCAGTATGAAGATGAAGGATGAGGATGGTTTACCAAAGCTGCTATAATGCAGTAGTCGCTGGCGTCGATTCGTTTGCGAATGTACTTGGCCACAAGACGTAGGATGACCGCGATGGTAGATAAAGCGATCGAGCTGATTGATAAAGCGATTGTCCAGACCTGCAGTTCAGTTTCGATTGTGAAAGCCATACTGAGCGAAAAACGCGCCTTGCGAATCTGGGTAGTTCAACAGTAGATAGAGGATGCGAACATACTGCCTCGTTGAGTCATGACGGGGGCTTTAGATACAGACGCTGCAACCTCGAAGACATTACAATGTCGATTGTCTGCCTCTACTCTATTCTAACGGACGCAAGCCACTCGCATCTTCTGAACGGTGAGAACTCGAGCCTTCCGAACGGTGAACTCTCGACCCTTTCGAAGGGAGGACATCCGAAGAGCTCACTCGATCTCGGTATTGAATTTCTCTAAAGGGATCTCTGTATACTGTAAACTCTATGCTAGTGCATCATGCACAGAGGTCCCAATTGAGAACAGATGCATAACGTAGATGCAGTCAGACACATGAATGGTCTGTGGGAAGGTCTTACTCGATCTCGGCGTTGGATTTTTACAAAGGGATCTCTGTATACTGTAAAGCTCATGTTGCTGTATCATTCAACCATAGCCCAATCGAAATTGGGTGCATGATATAAGTGCAATCAGACACAGAGTGGTCCGTGGGAAGATCGAGGCATCGCATGGCGGGCCGCGGGAGTGGTTCGTGATCGGAACGGATCTGGCCACCGGGAAGATCGGATCAGAGGCCACCTACAAGGAGTGCGTTTCCAAAAAACGGGGAGTAGTCGCATGACTTATATGACGAACGCGCAACACGATAAACACAGGGGGCGCGACGGTCATTCTGCTGGAAACTGAGAGCGGCGTATGCTGAATGTCCAGAATGGTAGTTGTGGTGAAGGGAGCGCAGGCAGGAAGGCTGCGGGCGAGACGAGTTCTTTTAGAATCAACGCTTTACCAGACCAGGACTAGCGCGAGATGAACGGTCAGCTCTCGCGCCTCCTACACGTCGCGTGCCTCAGCCCACAACAGCAACCAATATCTTCAAGGCGCGTATCAGCTTATTGTTCTCATCTCATGCATTGAATGCCGCCCCCGAATAGCGGTGTCATTTCACCGTTGATGATCATCTCCCTCATCGGAAACAAGAGGTTAAACTGCCCCAACACCAGCCATGCCAGCGCACGATCTGCTCGGGCTGCCATTGGTGTTATTTCGCATGATTATAGAGATAGTAAGCACCCTTATGGTTTGGCCGAGCATGCAACCGACTAAAGCCGGCATAGCTTCACGACGACGATGCGAAATCGCTGTATTCACTGCGATGTGTGTCCAGAGTATGCCGCAACGAATCCGACATATTACTCTTTCGTAGCATCCGTCTAAAAGACCATTTAGATCTCGTCGAGCTTGAATCTGGCATAACTCTCGACCTGTACATGGATGAGGCTATTGTTGTCCAGGAAGAGTTTTGGTTGCAGAAAGTAACTCAGAACCTGCTGCAATGCATACTGGATAAAAATAGATCTATCGCGAGACATGTCAGACATCTGGAGATCGGCGCCTTCTATCAGGGCTTCTTCGATGAGGCGCTCGCGCCTGTTCTGGAGGATGTATTGACGATGACGACTGGCCTGCAGTCTTTCAGGTAGGGCTGAACCCTTGGTAATATACTCGTATACTAACTTGGCACAGCTGGGGCACGAGCATACCTATACCAGAGGGTGCCCTCCACCTGTTTCACACGATGCATCCCACGGCTCGCCTGCACGTGACGAATCTCGAGCGGGAACGGAAGCCTCTGGATCGACGTCTACTCTCGTCAACGCAGCTTCACTCCCTCCGGTTGTGCGTTTACTACGATGAACCAGACCAAAACCTTTACCTAGATGGTTATCGCAGCGAGCTCCAAATTCTGAAAGGTTGCCTGATGCTCGGCAACAGCATTAAGAAACGCGATCTGAGCTTCGAAGACGCTAAGCATACGATATATGATAAAGCGCTCGTTGGTCTCAAAGACTGCGCGCTTGGCCCTTTGAACTTCCATTGGCAAGAAGGAGATCGATTTCCCACGCTTGAGGAGTGGACTGTGAGCGAGAGTTTCGCAGACTATGCCTACACCGCGCAACACATAGACATGTGGCATCGATGCATGGATTGGTCCCTGCTCTGCGCTCTTGATCTTGGGCGTTTCAACATGTATCCTTCATCTATGCTGCCGATAATATCGTTGACTGGCCATGTCCCGTGGCTTGAGTCTTTGAGTCTCGCCGTCTTCAACTGCAACGAACACGATAAGAAAGATACAAAACGTTTACTGTCAATATTGGAAGAGTTTCTGCGAAATTCTTTGGCACTCAGAAGATTGCGCCTATTGTGGGACGGCATTCCGGACTGTCTACCAGTGATATTACAACATCAAGGCTCGACGCTGCGTGAATTGAGCTCGGAAGACCTTGGCGATACAGCTCCCTGGAGCCACCAGCTCTTTCTCGACATACTGAGCAAGGCGCCGCAACTGTGCTGTCTAGACGTAGAGACATCGAATCAACACTCTGAGTTCGAACTTGAAGGGAGGTGGTCTGGTAAAGCCGTCAACTCATCGCCATCTGAGAAGTATAAGAGCATGGAGCATATGCTCATGAGGTGGCAGGTCGACAAAGCAAAAGTAGAAGCCGCTATTCTGAAACGCTTGGATATATGATACGTACTGAGGCGAGCTGGAAGATACGAATTGGACGCCACAGGAGTCACTTGGATACCAGAATCACCGTAGACGTATTTGATTTCATCGAGTTCGTGTTGCAAGCAACGGTATATAGGTATATAAGGATAAGTATGAGGTGCAGGGCCCCCGCGACCTGCTCGCGATTGGACGGAATCACCGTAGACAAGGTCGTGTTCGTGTTATGTCTTCGCTTCCCGGTTCATTTCGTCTGATTCAAAGAAGACCTTTCGCATACCTAGTAAGAGGTCAGACCACGCCTTTTGATCAACAGCATGTTGCACACTTTCCTCGGTGGATGACAGGGTTATAAAATTTACCAATTGGCATGTTCTTCGTTCTCAAGGATATCTTGATGCTTGAACCCAAGCACAGTCGCTATTACACAACACGATGTATTATCGTAATGCAGTTGTATCTTGTGAAAATCTTGTGCTCGCCGCAGGTACCCATATATGCCCTTGATACATCTCCGACATCAGCAAAAATCTTGAAGCCATTCACTCTCCAGAAAAGTCACAACGAATCTCCATGTCAAATCAGAGGTTGGGGAACGAGACAAGACCTTTGTCCAGTGACTCAAAGATCCGCAAATCCAAGGATCTCGCGATTTCCTCTATCATGTCGATGGCGTCTAACACATGATGACCTTGAAGAGACAGCTGTTCGATCAGCGGACACCATGTGTCCTTGAGCTTTAACATACCACGAAGGCAATCTTCGCTTAATTCGGTGTCGAAATAGCAGTCCTGCAACTTCAGATATCTCAACGACTCTGGTAGGTGACAGAGGTTCGTAAGTTTCTCAAACTGGATCGTTATGTGCGATAGCATCTCAAAATCGCGGAATGAGGGGTACACGTAGTGTAACGAGTCTTCGCCGTGCAGTTCGATGTCTTCTTGAAACCACGCATCGCGCATATCGTAGTGGCTGTTGAAGTGCAATTCCAGAGTCTTTAGAGTTGCTTTATGCTTTTCCAGTAACGCGATCACCAGATCTTGTGGAGTGACGAGGGGTTGGCTCCCAATATCGTCTGGCAACATACCCCCAAAACGCCTGTCGTCTGGGATGACAAATCTGAACGTTTTCAAGCGAGAACATGCTTCTAGAGCTTGTCGCATTGTAGCGAGTGGCCCAAGACTCCACCACAATTCAATCGCGGATGGTGTCAGTACGTTCGTGGCAGGATGAGCATCATTACCGGCCGATGCTTCGTTCTCGGTAGAGAATGAAGAGAACGATGGGTATCGCAGGAGCGGGATGTAGTCGACTATGTTGATTGGCTGGTTATCGAAATGCTTGTGCCTGCAGGTTAATGAGCGAGAGCGACATGAGCGGGAGTCGGCGATGCTTACAGATGGAACGTCTCCAACTTGGCGAGGAAGGCATCACTCGAAGCTCTCATCGCATGCATCCCTTGCAGTAGTCCGCGAGGGGGCAGATTGTGTGTATCCATACGAAGATGCCGTAGATTGGGCAGACAAAGAAGTGTGCATAACACAAGCGTCTGATACAACATGCTCCGTTCGCTATCGAGATTCTGAGTTTCGAATAATGCCAATAATTTGTCGAAAGTGGGACGGCGCATAAGGTCAGGTCCTTCGTACGGGGCTGGTCGATGGTAATGTAAAGTGAGCGATCGCGTCTTCTTTGCGAGCTTGGGGCGTTCGACACAGGTCCGCAAGAAGAGCTCAAGAGATCTCATGGTCTCGGGTATCGACTGTCCCAGTACCACGCAAGTGTAGAGCGCGGGTTGCGCAACAGCTGCCAGCGCGCGGGATGTATTGCATAATCGCCATAGTGCTCTGACGTCCGACCAGCGGCCTGTTTCGAGATGCGCGACGATGGAATAGAGCAGTTCGTTGGAAAGATCAGTGAGCTTTGCCATGGTTTGATGCGGAGTGACCGCCGGAGGTGTCGCAAGCCAGGTGCACAATAGCAGGCAGCAACATTAGTAAGCGACGCTCGCTTCGCGGGGCCATCTTTTTGGCGAATTGGCATCCTGGCCGGTGGCCACGACCTTCACCTTCACCAACCATCAAGCTCACGGCATCAGTCATGCAGAAGAAGCTTCTCAGTGGTACAACAGATATGAATTCAGGAATGACAAAAGAAATCTAACAAATCACGGGCCCTCCCTCCATTATCCCTCCCAACCAGTCCAAGCTCGCCAATGCAGACAGCCTACATCATGGCGCAAGGAGGGCACCGCTTCTTGCCGCACCTCTTCTTGTTCTCCTTGTGCTGGGTCCGCTTCATCGACTAGATAAGCGTTAGCAGATACCACATCAAGCCCATTCAAAGTATAACTCACAGCGACCTTCATGTCCTCGAGGAGATTAGCCTCCCAAGCCTCGTCTGTCTCCACAATGACTGTGGTAGCGTCAGTGCTGTCCTCGGCGACAGCGGTGGTAGCGGCGGTAGCGGTGGGGGTTGCCTCGGAAGGCGTGTCGGCCACGGTGACCATGAGGATGGGCATCCCGCTGGGAGGCAGAATGACGGAGGTGGACCAGGCAGTGACCTCGGGCCAGGTAGGCTCGTCGGCCACGGTGACCTGGGGGATGGGCATCCCGCTGGGAGGCAGGATGACGGAGGTATATGTAAAACCTGCCGGGGTGGTCTGAGAAGGAACCAAGCATGTTAGTCCATACTCCATAAAACAGTTCTGAGATGTAATGCTTACGTCGGTGGTGAGAGCAGGCATTTTGCTTCGATTTTTGACTTTGAGATACTTTGTTGTAGAAGTCTTGGGATGAAGATGGAATATTGTAAGTAGTTGGGAGGGATGAGGAGGTTTATATAGAGATATTTTCATGTTCTGCTGTGGTAGCGCACGGAATCATGTTGGTGGTTTGTGTGGGCACGAATTGCAAAACCCTCTTCGCTACCCTTGAAGTGTGGTCTCACCCAACCACTTAGATCTATTGCACCCACAATGCATATCAAAGCTTTGAAAATTGGAAGCGTGTAAAGAGAGGTACACCCTAGCTGTCCAATAGCGTATCTGATATCTCATGCCAGGCTGGAGGCGACAATGGTTCACCTACCCTCCATGTGAACCCACATCTCTACCTCTGGAGAATACAACCCGCGCGACCATCGCAACCACGCCGCCCATTAATACCCGTGAAGCATACCGTGGTTGCGTAAAGCGACTGGAAGTTTTCCGATGATATCGTTTGCCAGCTACCCAGTGATGTGCGCGATATATGAAGCCAGCTTGGTAGCGACCGTAGTTCCCAACACCTCGCAAAGAGCGCGCATCTCCACAACCCAAGACCTCGATCGATCCAACTATGGAAATCACATCCCCGATAATTACCAGCGAAGCATACCCCATGATTACGCATCACGCACAAAGCGCTCACCACACCCGTCCGCAACACCCTCACTCTGACTGGCTCCTATAGCCACCGCACAACCCTGCCCCATACGGTACCATCCTATCATCGCCCCTTCCCTCCCCACCCACTCATCCCCACGCTCCCCAAAATCCTCCAAACCGCGCACCCTCGCCGCTTCCAAACTGGAGAAAGTAGCTTAGCGCCACCCACACAACTTCCCATCTATATCATCTCACCTTCCATTTCCCTCCTCCATCTCTCCTTCACCTCACTTCACACAACGCAAGCCCAGACACGAACTGCAAGCTACCTTCCCCAAATCAACTAAACGCGACTACCCAACCCAAACACACAAAACAACCACAAAAATGCACACCCCAACCGTCCTCCTCATCGCGGCCGCAGCCAGCGCCGCCGTCGCCGCACCCGTCACCAGCATCAAGCCTACCGACTCAACCAACACCGCCAACACCGTCACCGTCGCACCTGCCTCAGCCGGCATGGTCGACACAGAAGGCCACTGCATGCACCCACCGCGTGCCGCCTTCGCCGCTCTTGATGCCGCCATGGCCGCTGGAGATGCAGCTACTGCTGCCGCCGCCGCTGCTGAAATCGCCTCTGTTGTCGCTGCCGCCCAAACTGCCACTGCCCAGGCCGCTGCCCAGGCGGACGAAGAAGAGACCCAAGAGCAGTACAACAAGAAGCTTGTCAAGATGGACAAGGCTCGTGAGCACGGTGTTGTCTGCACTGTTTTGTAGAGTATATCTTACATGTAAGTACTTCACATGCACGCTCCCGGGATAATCCAAGCTAACACGATGGCAGTCTAGCGCATCTACATTCCTTCATGGTGACTTACAAGCAGGACGGTGATTTACATTCGAGGCTGGGACAATAGTGAGGGATACATGGCATGGCATGGCGTTAGGCGCACCGTAGTGACGTTAATCGCGATCACGGATACGAACAACGAACACCGCGCTCTTAGAGGCCTTTTCATGATGTCAATCTGATTCAACATTACAAACAGTCTACACTATCATGCCGTTGTGAAACCTTATGTCTCTACTAACGCCCCTGCTTATACGTGATCTCACAACGATGCGCTTTCGGCGCAATGAGGAAGAAGTTCTGTGGAACACCAGATATTAGCACACATGTCACACACACATTCCACAAACGCATGAATAACTCACCTCAAACTCCATACTCTCAGGCGTCGTGCTGGGCGCCAAACGAATGCCACGGCACTCGCGGAAGAAAAACGCAGTCGCATATCTTAGTTCCATGCGGGCAAGATGAATACCGATACACGAGCGCGCGCCAGCGCCGAAGGGATGGAAAGCGAGTTTCGCCTCAGGCGATTGCGCTTCAGGCACCATTTCCTTGTCGGCGATCCAGCGTTGTGGGTTAAAACTAGTCGGGGTAAGCTTGAATTGCGACAGAAGTGCAAAGGCACGACTTACGTCAGAGGGTCACTCCAGATCTTGGGGTCGCGATGCAAAGTATACGCTTGCGTGTCGACCGTGACGCCTTGTGGGATGTAATGACCAGCGAACTTGGTACCGCCTTGAGGTACCACTCTCGGCAGACTACTTGGCGCCGCACCGTAGAGTCGGAGCGTCTCTTCGATAACCGCGTTGAGCAGCGGAAGTTTGATGAGATCGTTTTCGGTAAAGTCATGCGCCAGCGCCGCGGTTTCTGCCTCGAGCGCCGCTTGCAGCTCCGGTCGTTGGAGCACCGCCCATGTGAGGTACGTCAGGGTCACGCCTGTCGTATCGGTACCTGCAATGATGACGTTCATGGCTTCGATTCTGACGTCCATGTCGTCGATGTGGCCCTCGCCTTCCTTCTCGCAGTCCTCGATGACCTTTGCGAAGATGTTGTTTTCGCCGGTGCGCGATCGTGCTGTTTCGACGGCTTTGCCTGCGCCGGCGAGGATGAACTCGTTTGCGTTGAACATCTCTTGGATCGCGGGGACTGGGACGAAGCGCAGGAGGCGGAGGAATGGCATCTCGACCATGATGCCGGCTCCCATTGTCAGCTTCTTCAGCACGCGCATGAATTGGTTTTGCTGCGATATGTCAGCTCTGATGTGGTATTCGTAGTCGCATCTTCATACCTCTCCCGATTCCAGCATGTTGAATGAGTCGCCGAATGCGAGGTGAGCGCTAACGTCCGAGGCAAGAAGCATCCACCAGTTGTACACGTCGGCTGTCGCTTGCGTGGCATCCGCCTTGATCTTTGTAACAGCCATGAGCGCCTTGTCCCTGACGACAGACTCCCAATGCTCAACAAGGTATGTCCTGCTGAAAGATCTAGACAACAGCTTCCTCCGCGGCCCATGCTCACGTGGGTCAAGCATGGTGAACACACCGGCCTTGGGGAAGTTCGCAAGGCGGAGGTACCATTCGCTCTTCATGTACTTGGTGCCAATCTTGTGAATCTCTTTAAAGGCATCCAAGTCGGCAACGGCAACCTCATTAGGCGATAGTCGTACAATGGGTCCATATTGCTCGTGGAGGGAGTCGATGTAGAAGATGCGCTGCCCTGTTACGACTGCGCGCTTCAAGCGATAATGCGTGAATCGAGTATACCAAGGGCCTGGCAAGTGCTTTGTCCGACAGGTAAGACCAACGTAGAGGAACTGTGGTCGTTAGTGCTAGGTTGCGGAAGTGACATCCTCGCTGCACTACCTTTGCTACCAGCAGGCCGATTGCCAACAAGAATGCGTAGGCGAACGAAGCCATGTTGCGATGTAGTTGCTCGAACCAGAGACGATAAAGCTGATGTAGTTGCAGTACGAGCAGTTGAAGCTCAGGAGTGCTATCAGTCGATTGAGGACTCGGTGCAGATATGCTGTCGGCACGGTACTTAAACCAGTGGTACGGATCTACTCAGATGAAAATGACCTGCGTGCGCAAGAGACGTACTCTTATCCATCTTCATTTCTTCTTTCGCTAGACCAAACAGGATCAGCGAGCATCGTGTACCGGCATTGCTTTTGCGTACACCGGTCTACGGTCAACTGGGGACCCGACAAAGATAGCTAACGGTCCCTGTAGGCCTCCGACCATCTTCGCGCAACTCTGTTGTGGCATTGCATGGGGGCACGCGAGCGGCTGTCAGAGCGAAGCAGGCGAATGACAGACGCAGGGCGCTCTTCCGCATCAAGATCTCCAGATGAAACCTTGCCGAATCGAGTATAACGTAGATTGACCGCGCCGAAACATGCATGGTGCTCGCTGGTAAAGGGAGGGTATACCGGCTCGGGCCCAGGGCGCTCTTCTGAGGCGGAGGACATTCTGGCGATGGCTCCGTTAGACAGCCGCACTGCCTTCACGCGAACGTCCGTTGCTGTCTCGATTCGTTCAAGGTCGGGTTCGGTTGTTATTGATGTGCTTGATGTGGGCAAAGTCGCTCCCCGCGGAAGCCGAAGCCAGCAAAGGTAGTACCAATCCGATAGTTCATAGGATTCGCAGAATGCGTCTGGCCTGCTACCCAATCTTCGCAATGCGGGGATACTGTAGATAATCAATGTGGAGGCTAGATAGAGGTTAGCAGAAGCGCTAGAGGCACATCACCGCCATGATCGCCGTTGGCTTACCGCAACCTTCGAGTCAACGTCAACCCCACCTCATACCGAACTTCACAAAAAGCCATACCCTTGTACCCCGCCAGCTCGTATCCAGGATAGCGTTGTTGAAGCGAGTATCTCCGGGCGCTGCGTAGTCCGAACAAGAGGCGCGTGCCGATGAGATCCACGCGAACGCAGCCGGGAATCAAGGGAACCGTGGCCGGGTTGGGTGTTGCGGTGCGGCTTGCTTCTGTGGCTTCGTTGGGATGATCGGGTACTGAAGACGCGGAAGGTGGTCGGAACTTCGAAGGCGCGAACGCAAAGCTGTTGACTCAATCGCGACGAGAGCCCTGGACAACAGCATGATGTTCGCATCTTGCCAATACAAAGCACCGCAAAGACGTTCATGGTACCTCTTACTGAATGCCCCTCCAGGAGCGGGCGACTTCGTGCTGGGAAGATGCCTCGTATCCGGCTGAGCTTCTGCACACTTCACTAGGCGTACCGGCTTCTCAGCAGACAGGCAAACACCAGGTACGATGGCGTCGCTGAAAGGTCTGGCCGCGAACAAAGTCAGCTCAGGCCGTCATTGTGACAGGTCGTTGATTACATATGGCGGCGCATGCTGGCTGTCGCGATGCGTTGCGTTGACACCGCGCAGTCGGCCAGCCATGCGCGCAATCCCGATTGCTGTGGCTGAACGCATGAGTCCTGCGACCGAGGACTTCCGGACCGCAACTGTTGCTGCAAATGGGTTACCGGGTATCGACATGCGGATGTGACAGCGGACGGGCCGATGGAAAATGCTGAATGTGAGATGGACGAAGGTGGTTGAATTCGGGGAGCACATGTATCACCACGGAAGGAGGTCGTGACGTCAACCGTTACCTGTCGCCGGAGCGGGTGTTGCCCGTCGCTGTGCAGCTGGGTATAGCTTGAATGATGCTAAGCATTACTTGGGGTATATCATACTACCGTTGACATATCATCTTGCTGCAGGTGTGTGTCACGTATCGTGGTGCGCGACTGCCCAGGTGGCTCCTGCAGGTGCTTGCTACGGTAGCCGTGAAGGCTGTCTCTACAGCGCTGCACGCGGCCGGATCGTCAATACATGTTCCGCTCCCAGTCAATGGAAATGCCACAAATTGCCATAAAACGGTGTCGATCCCTGTTCATCGCCTCAAACCCGCATCTGCGGATGGCACTCCAAGTTATATGCAGTTACGTGCTCACCCAAACGAGAAGGGTATTAGAAATTAGTGTTGATGTAACGAAGCCGGAATTTGGCTCACATGCGCCGGGAGAACGAGCAGTCTATCAGTCCCTCGCGCTTTTCAACTATTTCTTTACTCGTTACCACGACCCCACCAAAGAATACAGCAATGCAGCATCCATCTTCCCGCCAAATTTCAGATCCCATCATTACCCTACCCTTCCATCACCATCCCCTCGCGGAGAAGATGCCCATGCCACCTCCAGCAACTCTTACACGTCAACTGCAGACACGGCTGCTCATACGTAATCTTATTCTGCCATGCTCCCTTCCTTTGTCTTTTCGGTCCGCCGTAATGGAAGCGGAATAGCTTTATTTTGCAAGATGTAGGCCTATTTTCTACGTCTTTGGGTTTACGTGGCTTCGCTTCGCGGATCTTGTTGGACGGAGAAGGAGGTAGTGATAGGCATCGTAACTTGAGGGTCAGCTTTCGTGGTATGTTCTTTGTTTTGTGTAGCGGGGTTGAAGGATGGTAGGCGTTCCATATATGTGCCGGTATTCTAATCCTCAGTCGCGCTTTGTCTGGAAGGCTGTAATCTTCGACGAGTCTGTTGGGCTGGTACTCATTCCATATGCGCTTTGGTATCCTAATCTTTAGGCCCATCATGTCTGTGATCAGGTCGATCATTGCGATCCTTTCGCTAGGACGTCGGTTGGCTAGGCGCATTCGCACTGTTGTCGAACTTGCTGTTTCCTCCATTTTCGTGATGCGACAGCAAATGAGTTGCCAGCTACGAAGTTTGTTAGTGTACTTGTTGGTGTCTGATAGCTCGGACGTGTGCGGCAAGCGAGACGTTGATAAAAGCATGGCTGCCGGAACAAAGGTGTTTCGGATTGTTGAGATGAATGCCATTGTCTTGACCATGATCAGATGTCTTTCTCTAATGATAAACCACGTAAATGCTCAT